CTCGTAAAGACGGCATTTTTCTAAAAGTGCAATGAAGAAAAAAAAATTGAAACTCGTCAATACGGTCGTTCGTAGTACTGGCGGATTTTCGACAAACGAGTGAGTCTTTCGTCGTGGTGAGTTTTTCGCAACGATCCATTCTCACGTGATGAACCTTTCGTTTCTGGCTCCTTCGCCATCGTACATCATTTCCTCGGGACGTTCGCTGCTTTCGTCTAAAACAGTTTTTCCCCCACATTTCACTCCACTTGCTCAGCCTCAGACAAGAGCGCCAATGAAACGCGAAGTGCAGCGAAAATATATTTAAAAAAAAAGTCCATCGCATGCAACACAAGGCACGCTTTCTTTAATGGATAAAAATATGGAAAATGGAGACAAGCGAAAGATGCACAAGCAAAAAGGAGAAGAAGGCTCACAGAGGAAACTTCGTTTCGACAGAGCGGTGGCACAAATTAGGCTTTCATTCTAATACACGAACGACACTTGACATGATCAGTCATTTCTATAGTAGGAAATGAAAATGCTCCAAGATTTACTCAAGACAAGTTTTTCGTTACATCTCATAATTCGTCACAGATGTATAAAACCCCATGGACGTTCTTTTGAAGCATCAAACCATTCAAAACGACCACGGAAAAAAAGCAAAAGCGAGTGGATTACTGAAGGCATTTCGAAGAGCTATCTTTATAAAATGATCTCACTACTAGAAACTAACACTTGCGACTTGTTTTAATGCAGGAACTATTTTCTTAGACTCGCTCATTCATTCCCGGGTCTAAAGTCCAAATCTTTCATGCGACTACAGTACATTACTGTATTTCGTAATCGCTGATGGACTTTTCAGTTGAAGTCCGTGCCATAGTTTCTGCCCACACTTCACCTTGTTGATTCAACATCGGACGAACGCCGAAGAACGTAAACGGAAAGAAGGCAAAATGAACATGGGGTCACCGAAAACGAAAAAGAGACATAAAAAAACACCATCTGGAACAAGGCTCGAAATGAGAGTTCGTGTATAAATATACGCACATGTCAATAATCAAACCTGAAGACATAATCTATCCTCGTAGAACCGAGCCAAGAATAACAACCTTTCAACTCCAGTGGATTTCCAATGCTGGTTATACAGTACTTGTTCTCTTCTAATGTTCAATTCCCACGATTCGAATCATTTTTTGGCTAGTGCATCATCGTGGATCAATTTCTTCACGTGGTTTTTCTCCTCAAATCGTGAACAGCTTTCATACGACATTTCATTCAGTTTTCTGAACCTCGTCGCAGAATACAGTACAGTACAGCGAAAAGCTGACGAAACGAGCATAGCGTACATTCCACACAAGACAAGTCTGCCCCGTAAACGGGAAAAAAAAAGACCGGAAGAAACGCGAAAAGTGTGGGAGAAAAAAAAATAAGAAAAAAACAAAAACAAGAGCAAACACGGTTGTTCGCTTTCATCGCACGCGAAGGAACCGCAGACGCAAGTTTTCTGACACACTTCCACCGTTTTTCCTTCCAGACGAAGCCCCAGCACGTCGCAGATGTTTTTCCTTTTTTTTTTTTGCTTTCCAACCCGAACGCTCCCAATTCCGCATTTTCAAATCCACACAGTAACAGTCACAAGAAATAAAAATTAACGCGTTTTTTTTCTCATTTCGAAAGCGTATTACGCCCGGTGGCCGGAAATTAATGCAAGTCTCGCCTTCATTAATCACTCGTTGAAACTTCGTAAACCAGCCTTAAATAAAATACGCCAGTAAAAATCATCATTACTTATTTCTCAACTACGAAAAACGCAATCGAACGATTTTTTTTAACTCATCGTTCGTTATTTTCAGAACGAGTGATTTCTGTGAGATGATCTTATAGATCAAGTCGACTTAATTTCTACGAATATCTAGGTAATCATCGGAGGTAATTTCAAACCTCCGCAGGGTAGCTTCAATCGTCTAATAATGCAGATCTCTTCATTTAACGATGACCAACTGAACTCCATTCCCGCGAGAAAAATGTTTTTTGATATGGAGATGAAATTGTTTTTTTCACACAGTCGATAGCTATCACTGATAGATAAAAAAAGAAAATATAATTTGATTTCTGGTCATTCGTGCAGAAAGTGGTTCATTTGCAAGTTTCATTACTGTCGCCAGCTGTTGAAGTTCAAATGCCATGAAATGCATTCGACCAGCTTCCTTCATTAAAATAAAGTTGTTTTCAGGCCATAAAAAAATAATTACAGACAAATAACTGAGTGAAAAGATGAAATAATCAAGCTAAAAGTACAGTCAAATCTCCGACTTTTTTCGAGATAAAACCTGAAAATGCATCAGACGGCCAAACGTTATCAGTACTGGATTAAATTTGACTGAACGTTCAAAATCATTTCACGCCATTGAAAGACAAATTCCGCAGACTCAAATTATGAAATTTGAATGAGAAAAAAACAACAATGAACGTCGTTTCACAATTTTGAAAAAGACAGAAGAAATTGAAATTTTTCAAATACAGTATCTTGATAATTAGACGCCGCTAAGGATTCTCAATCAATCGAAGTAATTTAAACCACAACAATTTAAAGAAAAAATTAGTCCAGAATAATAATGCGTAAAACCCAGTGAATTTATAATGCTCAAAAAAAAAAAAAAGTCCCTCATTGCATCATTTCCTGTCGCAGAAGATATCCACAATTTACAAAGTACCTTAGCTCAACGCATCCGAGGAGCAGGAGGACGAAATCTCAACTTTCTTCCAAGTGTGAGAAAGTCTCGATTTTCGCTTTCTACGACCGAAACAACGACTCACAGCTCCTAAAGAGAAACCGAAAATGAAAACTCAATGGTCCAATAAAAAATAAAGACTAGATTTGAAGTAATTCAATTCATTCAAGCGTGGAAAAAAAAAACGTAAGATCGCCTATTGAACGTTTTCCACACTTCCTCGTGTCATGTTTCCGAGTGACGGCGATCGGCTTTCGCTGCTCCCCACAACGCGCACGTAATCACTCTCACAAGGAAGAACTTCATTTCCGCGTTCTACATTGACACAGTTTCTTTTCTTTGAATACAACCCATCACGTACACGAGCCAGGAAACAGGAAAGGTTAAACACAGACTACAACGAATCCCGTGACCTCGTGCGAACTCCGGCGATGGAAAAACGGTACAACTGAATTCGCAGACATGATTGCTCACAGATTGAAATATAATACAGTTGGGAATGCAATAAAATTGAACGCTTCTAGACCTCGTATTTTCATCCAGCATAGGTCCATTCTTCACACACACAAATTATGAAAAATCTCAAAAGTGTCGAGAGATGCACGGGTATTTTCGAAGGACCACTGGTCCCAAAGATGACTTTCCCTTGTCACCCGAAAAAGATGAAAAATATTTTTGTGAATTCATTTCCTCTGGAAGACCTGAACCAACTGTATTTCACAAAGCTTACCGAGTATCTTCCGTATTTACGCAAGTTTCGGGAATATTCTTCAAATCTTCCCAGTACGAAGACTGCACGAATTTTGAAGCCGTTTCATTCCGTAAAAAATATGACCATATAAACAACGAGCTTACGAAATTTTCACGGTGCCCGATGTGCTGTAGGATTTAATCATTTCGATAAACAATATTTGGTACCGTATTTTCGTCCAAAAAATACCACTTCAACGGACGGAGTCTTTCTGAACAATGGAAGGGGACAGTTCATGTTCGACCACAGAATCCAGTTTAGCTCATGCATGCGCGACCACTTTCTAGGTTGGAGAATGAGAGAGCGTTTCAAACAATGGAAAAACTATCAGGAGTCCAAGTTCAATCAATCTCAAGCACATTGGTATTCATGGTTTAACAATAATAAAATTATTGCTGCGACTGAGCAGCTGAAAAGCTAGTAAAACTTTATCACGTAGAATTCATTCTAGAGAATTCAGAAAATTCGAAATTACTGAACTTCCGACATACGATGATCATCACACCCAAACAAATTTTTCTTTTAATCGAGCTGGCAAAATACTTTTCCGTACGCAGTTTTGAAGATATCTCACGGTTCGGGTAACATTAATGTATTTCTAACACAACGTATCAGTAAAAATTAATCCGGAAACTTCAATTCATTGGTTCCACTTCCAAATATAAAATGCTGACTATGAATTGACAGCTTGAAAGCTGATAGAAATGATCCATCGGGAAAGTATAATTCTACAGAACTTTGAGGCTCTAAAAGTGGATGGGAACTTGAAGGTCTAGCTATGTGCGAAGGGATGCTTCCATTCAACTGAATATATTAAGTTGTTCTGAAAAACATTCCTCGGGACCGATTTCATCAGTCCAAGAAATTATTCAGATTGTAGCCTCGTCTTCCAAACACATTCTCTCAAAATACCAGGTACTTCCCAGAAAAATGTTCATTGGATGGTAAACTAGAGATAAAATCGATCGGACTCGAGCTATTCGCAGAACATAAAAAACCAACCCGGCTGGTTTCCCTTGCGCTTTAAAATGATTAAGTAGTGATTCCGAAGAGGAACTATGATTCATGCAGGCGATCGGAACCCATCATTCTTCAAAAATAGCAACGAAAATCGGTCAACGAAAACCAAAACTACATTCATTCTTCCGGTCAGTCTTAACTTAAAAAAAAATCAAAATATATATATATTTCAAGTACCATTCAGGACTTCGGTACATAATACAATCAATATTCGACCCGATTCGAAAGCGTAATGCGTATAAAACCAGCACTTCGCAACTCAAAGAATCTAATTCTAGAAAGGGTCGATTGATAATGTGTTTATTTGAAAGTACCCGAGTATCGAGGTCTATTGTCAAACAAATCGTCGCCACGGATAAATAATGTTGAAAGAAAACGCTTCGTTTTTCTTTAGTCAAGGCTCCAGAAGAAAACGAACGAGCATCAAGAATCTCGTCAGGCGTCGGGGTCGTCTGGAAGATACACAAACCAGGACACAACCTCCTTCCTTCAACAGGGTTTTCCAGCGTGACACATCAAGAACTTCCCTCATCGACTGTTTTCCCGTCCCGAAGCACAAACACCCGATTCATCGCCAGTGCCAACTTATTCCTCGAGGAACCCGAGCTTTCGAGCAAGCGCAAATATTTAGCCGAGCGACGACGTTTTCGGAGCGAAGAATGTCGCGGCTGAGCGCAAACATCGCGTTTTGGTAAAGCTCAAATGAAGCTTATCGTTAAAGCTACTACTCCAACTTCGAAACGAAGTCATGTTCACACCTCATTTTGAAATTCTCGGGGTCAAAATATTCAACACACATCGACGCAATTGCTGACCTTTCGAACTTTTACTTTCAAGGACATTCTTACAATCCGTTCAAAGTAAATCCGTGCCGAATCTGATCCCACGCACTTCAGCATTTCAAGCTAACTTTCAAGTTTCAACAAATACTTCAATCAAGTAGTTCAACGATTTGCCTTTCATAAGTGGGTTTCGTCAATGAAATGAAGATTTCTTCAATTACGTTTCCAGGGCAGTAGCATATTCCGAGTGCGTGAATGAATGAAGTACAAACCTCGTCAAAATTGCCCCAAATTTGTTCCTTCAATACTAGATACTGTAATTGATAATCGCAGCTGCAGATTGTTCAAATTTGACCGAATTAACCTCACACCAAGATAGCCTAAAGGAACAAGTAGCCCAACGGAATTTCCGAACAGCCCATTAGAGTACATTAGACATTACACCCAACTAAACTAACCTAACCGAATATGCAAAAAACATAATTAACCTCACACATATTTAATCTAATTCTAATGTAACCCATAGCTGACATAACTTAGTGAAGTATATTAGTTCGGGTATTATATAGTCATTGTTTACAAAAAATAAAGCCTAATATGTAATAAACAGATGATTATACTGTACTGTATAGGTTGAATGATACGCTCGGCATTTGTATCACTTCCTACAGGAGCAATAGAAGTGTCTCAGAGTTGAACAGACTTTTATTTTACTGTACTAGTCAAGAGGCTATGGTCTTATAAATTCACATATGGTCTTATAAATTCATGTAAAGAAATTTTCACCTACGGTACTTTTAAATGTTCACGTGACTCGTATCTTCAAGTCCTCATGCACCATCCATTACAGGGCAATCATAACATTTCCAAAATAAGCGGATAAGTAAGAAATTGTGAAGTAATTTGTGGGTATACGAAGATTAGTGAGAGAGAATACGCTGATAAGTGATAACGCAAAGAAGAGTCATCTGATCATTTCGACAGACGAATGCCGTTCGAGATCTCACCTGGGTAGTTAGAGCAGGCTTGGCGCTTTGTGGCGGTGGCGCCGGTGGCGGACCACGCTGCGCAATTTGATTAGCATGCAAGAACGACTTGATTCCGGTGCTTTGCAGCGATACAGAAGCAACCGAAGGCACACTGCTCGGGGGAGTAGGGGCACGATTCATCACTGGCTTCGGCTCGGGTGCAGACGCAATCTTCCCATTCGCTACTTTGTTGACGATTCGCGAAGGTCCTGTACTCGTTGCCCCCGTGGGCCGCAATTTAGGCATTCCTCCGGCGAAAAGGCTTCCGAGGTCCGGCATTCCCGAAGGACCTGGAGCAGCACCAACGCTCCGCTTTGGCCCGGGAGCCAAGGAACTGGACGAACCAGGTTTATCGGCCTTTATCCCGGTTAATATCGGGGCACTGCGGTCATTGGTGACAGTTTTTTTCAGCGCCGCGCCGGAACGGATAGAAGACAGGAGAGCATTTCTATCGTCACCTCCTGATTTCGGAACTGGCATCCGCAGCCCACCACCTGGCATGGGCGGAGGCGGCGGACCCGGTGGCGGCGGTGGAGGTGGCGGCATGACCTCGATTCACTCACTGTCGCGACATGAGACGCGCACCGACAACTGACGACATTATGGCCGACAAAGCGCACATATCCACTTATCGTAACATCTAATGGAAGCACGAATGAATAGCAGGTTGAACCTCGAACACATCGAAGTCTTCTCCGCTCAGAATGCTTGCGTGAAACACGATAATATCACTGATTGCGAACAAGCACGATGTGATTCCTCGTCGTTACGAGATAACAAACGCGACTCGGGAAAGCGCTGTAAGGCAGAATTCCTAATATGAATAACGCATGCTAAAACCACACTTTCGCAACAAAAATTCAATGAATTGTTCGTACAATTTCTGAGTGAGGAGGATGCGATCGATGATAACATTTTCGACGAAATGACATTACTCCAACATGAGGCAGAAACAATAAGCACAAAATATGCATACAAATTTCTGGACGCAAAATTCACTACTCAACATTCAACACGGCCGAATGAATAGACATCGTTCACCGCATGAATTCAACCACAGCGAAGCTTTTCTAAAATACAGTAACACCTCGTTACCGCACCCGAGGTACGAGAAATTCCTGCACTAAAACAACAAGCCCAATGCACTTTTTGTACACGCCTGAGAACAACCAATGCCCCTCGAAGAGACACGTATAAAACGTGCGGGTTGGATCATACTTAGCTTCGCATTTACCCTCGAATACTCTCCACCAGCGACGCGCTTCGCGAAGGTCTGCACTGCGACTAAGGAGCATCATGGTAGACAAAACAGTAAGGGAATCCTTTGAAATATTCGAACTCATCATCGAAAGGTCTATTCCCCGACGTGTACACCGATACGAACTCGACGATGGCTTGCAAAGCCGAGAGATACTGCGTCGTCGTCAGCCAGGATCCGAGTGCTCGTTATCAGGTCCGCCGATGCCAATGAGGCGTCTACATTTGCTTCATCCCTGATTCATACAGTTGGATTATCTAGACAGCTGAGACATCGCCTTTTTTCATCACTAGATGTCACTATTCTTGGGAGATCCCTCGCCGTACTGACGCGTGTGCTGTCCCCTAGCTTCAGTTCACCGAATATTACCGTATTTCACATGCATAGAGGGCCAAAATGACTTCCAATCCATAATATGATTATCTATTCGATTGCAAAACACTTACGCAGTGTATCAAGGGTATTATAAGCGGAAGTAAAAGTTCTAATGTATTAGATGAACTTGTGATTGCAGAAGAGCATAAGCGCAGTTAGAGCCCAAAACAGCAAGTGCACCTGCCAGGATAATGTAAAAATTTTGCTATACAGTCGGTTATTTCTTATTTGATGCTCACGCATACACTTAGTGATATGAAAATTTAAATTTTAATTGCTCTTTCGTTGTGAATCCATGGTGTAGAATTACTGTAGTGAGACCTCTTTTCAATTTGAACTCAGAGAGACCAACAAGGAACTCTGACAGGGAATCAGCATTTCTAAAAGTGAAGAATGAAAAATTACAGGGTGAGATTGGTGATATCCTGCTAATTAAATGTGTTGACAGGATGCTGAACTTGGAAGCAAGGTCATAAAAACTTAATTATGTCACACTTCCTTTCAAAAGGCACGAAATTACATTTTTATTGCTTTTCTTTCTCCTAGGGCCCGAGAATAATACCAGGTCCTCTACAAAAGTTTACCATATACTGTACAGTGGAAAGTCTATGAATTGCAGAGATCAAGTTTACACTGTCAAGAAGTTGAAGACAGGGAATATAAAGATAAATCAAATGATGAATACTTAGAGATTTCCAAGGTGAAGACGTTTGAAGTACCATGAACAAGTATATTTTACAAGCATTATTTGGAATACGGTATTAAAATGTATGTTGAGATTTTAGTCCTACATTAAGTTTTAGTTTGCAGCTTCATAGATCTGTTCGAAATAGCTAAATCTCGTAAACATCTGGCAAGCTGTTCATGTTTTAAATTGAAAAGATCAGGCACCTTTGCACATCGATTCTGTAAAGAAACCAGGCCTGAAGGTTATGACCGAAAACATCCATTTCCAAAAATCGTGTATATAAGCTCATCAACGGCAATAAAATCAATCGGGGCAAACTCAATCATCGAACAATCACACGATCATCGGGATTTCGGCATCAGAAGAAGCTTATCCACAAAAGGTGTAACAACAACACGTAGTTTTAGATCCTGCGTGTGCCCCAAAAGATATCGAAATGATTTTTCTTCCTTCCGAGGCTGATGACTGGATTGAGGCATGTTAAGATCTTCGTAAGAAATCACATCGTCCAAATTTATCCTCAGGGAATCCGCATCATCGAAAGTTGCGTACCGAATATGTACCTGCGAAATTCACAATTCAGGATCAAATCAATCCACTCTAACATAAAAATTCGCACGGTCAGAAAAAAAAATTACCGTACTCACATCTTTCACGAATTGAACGCCCTGAAAGGATTCTGCATATATTAGCAGGGAAATACGGACTCGAGCCACAGGTTGCTCTGCTTTCCGTTGCAGCACGAATCGCACCTTCTTCACAACATTCTCCGGAACTTCGAGCATCCGTTCCCATCCGATCATGAAAAACTTCTTGAAACAGACGCCCTGGGGATGAAATAAGAATAATTTTTTTTCCATCAACACAACAACCAGCTAGAGAAATTGTTATACCTCCTCGACTTAAAAATGCGACACACACCTAGCGAGAAAAATCTGCCAGAAAAATGGGCAGTACCTGAGAACAGTACTTTAAAATCGATGGAGATGCATAAAGGCATCTCGCATTTTATATCAAAGATTTTTAGGTGAGGTGCAGATAGCTTCCGACCAGCAAAACTTAGTGAAAGTAAAAATATCGAATGAACAAATTAGAGTATTTTAGGTTAAGTACACAATAAAGAAAAAAACTGCATGATAGTGATCTCTCAGAGAAAGTATCGAAGATTTCAAGGTGGCATCTGGAGCATGAGTAGAATGAACAGACTGATAAATGTTAAAAGGGTGACGGAAATTGAAGTACTTCTCATATTTACAGAAAAAATTTCTTCAAACTTAATTGTATTTGAGGAAATACGATAACGAAGATAAGTAGACGAAATTTTCTGGCAAAGCGGCAAATTTACATCCGTCGAAAAAAAGTCATGAACTTTACGTGGAACAATGCCGAGGCACGTACAGATAATTAATGTACAGTACCTTCGGATGAATAGTCAAGGTCCATTCCCACTGCTTCTCCTCAGCTTCCATGCAATCTTCGGAATACGTTGACAGCGAATGAAAAACCAATGCGTGAGAATAATAGTGAGGCACATAGGGAAAACGTTCGATCGTCAACAATGCACTCCATTTCTCATCAGTGTACACCCGAGGTGTAAAAAGGTTCTCTCCGTCGGGCTCCAATTCCATCACCTTCCGAACCCGCGTCAACTGCGGAACAGACATGGTTAAGTAACACAACACTTACTTCAACTCAAGTACTTCTTGAGGTTTTTCCCCCGCGGAATGGGAATACAATTTGAGGAACCAAGAATTGGCCGAACTTATTTTCCGTATGCGAAATTCTGAAGCCCGTCAGCGTTCACGTGCTTCAGAATTTTAGGTGTACAGTATCGAAATGAGGGTTTAAACTCGATTCAAGCAAAACTTTACTACAGTAGTTCGACATTATGCATTCAAGATCAGATGAATTTTTTATATTCAAATTTCATCTCCGTCAGCTGATTCCAAGACAAGCTACGTACATAGGTCATGCTTTAAATAAAACAACCTCAGTAATATTCTCATGGACCAATAAGAATATCACGGTAACCATCACATGACAAGTTCCCAATGCAAAACCAATCGAACACGCAAAACCACGCTGAAAAGCCCTGAACTAAGACGCCCATTGAAACATGGACAAAATCATTTAACAAACCTGAGCGGAGTGAAACGACATCCCAATGCCAAGGCGAGTAACAAAATACTCTTTGTAGCGATTGACCAGCGGATTCAAAAGCATTTCCGCCAAATGCCGGCAGCTCATCATTGGGAACCTGATGTGTTTCATCACATTCAAAACAATGTCTGAAAAATATGCTTCCCACTCGTCCTGAGAGCGACTCTTTTCGCCTTCTTCAGCCTTGATGCGGGTCTCATAGGCATGAAACCAACTACTCACACAACTGGAAAAAAAAAACGCTCAACCTTCCAAGCATAAAAAAGTACTACACTTATTGCACTATACTTACTCGAACAATTCGAACTCGTTCGCTATCACTAGGTCACTTCGTTGAAGAAAGCTTATCATGGAAGGAGGATCTAAAAAAGCAAAATCCTTCTGCCTCGACGCGTTCGAGAAATTCCACGCAATATGGCCGGAAATAATTTTGCTCGCGATCTTGTTACCAATTGCTTCTGCGTATTGCAACCTGGAACAATAAACATTTTACATCAACAGCATCCCTAAAAGAAAAAAAAAGGAAAACATACCAAGATATAAGGCATCCATGTTGCATGGCACTGACGATGTGCTTCGACATGAACTTGAAGGTGATATCCACTAAAGGACGCACGTTGTACTTGTCGGCCAACTTGATGATCCCCAACACAGTGTCTAATTTGAACACGACTTTACCTTCATACAAGTAATTCATGAAGCAGGGAAATGCGGTGAAGCTTGTTGGTTCTTCTCGAAGATTAACGATCGGCTGGGAATTCTCCATCCAGTTCGGTCCATTTAGCATCACCTACGCAAGCATTACATCCACTTATTTATCCTCCCCCACGGTAAATGACAAAACAATGAAAAAGTTCCTTTCATCGAATAACATACGATTGGATGATGCAAAATTTTTTCGTTGCACCCAATTTCCTAAACTTGGGTGTCAATTTTTTTTCTCTAATACATTTTTTAAAAATTTCATAGATATGCACTTCTAAATTGACTACCCATTTTTAAATAATAGCAGTATATTTCGGGAGATCTAAAACGGATCTAGAAATCTGGATGCGAATTCATTTCACTCAACGGTAAATTTTGAAGAACAGAGATTTTTCGATTCAAAAGATTTCTGATGTACCACATATCAGTTCAAAATACATTACATGAAATTAAAATGATCGACAAAATCCGAATATTTCACAAAATGAAAGATCATCACAGTACTCGATTTTGGGTCAGGTAATTCTTTCGTTCAAAACGTCGACAGTAATCCAGCCAATACAATTCGAACAATGAAACAAATGGTGAACGTTATTGAAAAGGAAAGGATACATCTTACATGAGCTTTTATTGGTCGTTTTTCGGTGAACAAAATTGTAGCTCGAACCATTCTGAAAATATCGATTTTAAAACTGTTCACTTGTTTAACTTAGCTTCGTGAGAAAAATGCCGAAACGCTCAGAAAAACCGCACAAGTGAATTTCGGGACATACCTGGAACACATCACTATGCGTACAAAGTACAAGTTTATGGCAACGGTAGGTTTTGGGAAGTACGTTTTCTTCT